ATCAAATACAAAATGGGAATTGACACAGTTACTTTTTGCTGATGATACTGTGCTTATGGGAGATTCTAAAGAAAAATTGCAAAGGTTAGTGGACGAGTTTGGGAGCGTGTGTAAAGGTAGAAAGCTGAAAGTGAACAGAGAAAAGAGTAAGGTGATGAGGGTATCAAATGATTTAGATAAAGAAAAATTGGATATCAAATTGGGGAGGAGGAGTATGGAAGAAGTGAATGTTTTCAGATACTTGGGAGTTGACGTGTCGGCGGATGGATTTATGAAGGATGAGGTTAATCATAGAATTGATGAGGAAAAAAAGGTGAGTGGTGCATTGAGGTATATGTGGAGACAAAAAACATTATCTATGGAGGCAAAGAAGGAAATGTATGAAAGCATAGTAGTACAACACTCTTATATGGGTGTGAAGCTTGGGTTGTGAATGCTGCAGCGAGGAGGCAGTTGGAGGCAGTGGAGATGTCCTGTTTAAGGGCAATGTGTGGTGTAAATATTATGCAGAAAATTCGGAGTGTGGAAATTAGGAGAAGGTGTGAAGTTAATAAAAGTATTAGTCAGAGGGGCTGAAGAGGAGTTGTTGAGGTGGTTTGGTCATTCAGAGAGAATGGATCAAAGTAGAATGACATGGAGAGCGTATAAATCTGTAGGGGAAGGAAGGCGGGGTAGGGGTCGTCCTCGAAAAGGTTGGAAGGAAGGGGTAAGAGAGGTTTTGTGGGCGAGGGGCTTGGACTTCCAACAGGCGTGCATGAGTGTGTTCGACAGGAGTGAATGGAGACGAATGGTATTTGGGACCTGACAATCTGTTGGAGTGTGAGCAGGGTAATATTTAGTGAAGGGATTCAGGGAAACCAGTTATTTTTATATAGCCGGACATGAGTCCTGGAAATGGGAAGTACGTACAATGCCTGCACTCTAAAGGAGGGGTTTGGGATATTGGCAGTTTGGAGGGATATGTTGTGTATCTTTATACATATATGCTTCTAAACTGTTGTTTCTGAGCACTTCTGCAAAAACAGTGATAATGTGTGAGTGTGGTGAAAGTGTTGAATGATGATGAAAGTATTTTCTTTTTGGGGATTTTCTTTCTTTTTGGGTCACCCTGCCTCGGTGGGAGTCGGCCGACTTGTTAAAAAAAATAGTTGGTGTCCCACAGGGAAGTGTCCTTGGCCCTCTTCTCTTTCTCCTATACATAAATGACCTTCCAAATGCTTCGCAATTACTCAAACCCACACTATTTGCAGATGACACTACATACGTCTTCTCTCACCCGAGCCCAGTCACGCTAGCCAATACTGTAAATACCGAATTACAGAAAATATCTACCTGGATGAGGACTAACAAACTTACACTAAACATTGACAAAACCTACTTCATTCAGTTTGGTAACAGAGCTACAGATGTCCCTCTTAACATAATGATAAATGGATCACCTATCACAAAACTAACAGAGGGAAAATTCTTAGGAATCCACCTTGATAATAGACTCAAATTTCATACACATATACATCAAATTTCTAAGAAAATTTCCAAGACTGTAGGCATACTATCGAAGATACGGTACTATGTTCCACAGTCAGCCCTCCTGGCCCTATATCACTCTCTTATTTACCCCTATCTCACCTATGGAATTTGTGCATGGGGCTCAACAACAATTAACCATCTCAGACCACTAATTACCCAACAAAAGGCTGCAGTTAGAATGATAACAAATTCTCACTACAGGCAGCACACTCCACCAATATTCAATACACTAAACCTACTCACCATACAAAACATCCATACTTATTACTGCACCTATTACATACATAGAACACTTAACTCTGATATTAACCCTCCCCTCAAACATCTCCTTGCCAACCTCAACAGAACACATGACCATAACACAAGGCACAGATCACTCTTTGATGTTCCTCGTGTCCATCTCACACTATGCAAAAACTCAATGCACATAAAAGGCCCTAAAATCTGGAATTCATTACCTGTAAATATAAAAGAAACACAACCTGTTTATAAATTCAAGTCTCTTCTCAAAGATTACTTACTCACCCAAAACCAAATAAATACTGAATAACTGAACATTATAAATTGTATATCTTAAATGTTTCTCACAATTATATCACATAAATGTTAAACCTAAAACCCAATCTAACTTATTATTTTTTAAATACACTACCTAACAGAATCACTACCTAACTGAATGCAACCATATGAACTGTCTTTGTAATACTCACTTGTGCTTTATAGTTATCTGTTTACATTAATGTTTTATCACTGATTTCATCATTGCTTAGTAGCAGCGCTGTATAGTCCTTGTGGCTTAGCGCTTCTTTTTGATTATAATAATAATAATAATCATTGCTTAGTTAATCTTAAGTTAATTTTAAGCCAGCCCGTAATGCTATGCATAGTATAAGTGGCTTTGGCATACTGCTCTTATCTGTATTTTTTTGTACCTCTGTATGTATGCACAAATTGGAAATAAATAAATAAATAAATAAATAAGAGGGCAGGGGAGGATAGGGTTCATGTATCCTAGACTTTAGTGGATGATGTACAGGACATCACACCTCTCACTCGCCACTACCAACACACTACAGGCAGGCCCGCTTTACAGCACTGCTATAAGGCGTTTTGCTAATTCAGCATTTTTCAGTATACCATTCTTCGTCTACTCAGGCTTCTTACAATAAATATATTCACCACTTACTATAAGCTAAGGACGAAAATATTTTAAAAGTAAGTAATGTGTGTACTGTTTATGCATTTTTTAGGCCTGGTTCTATTGGTCACTTAATATATGATAGTGTAAACATGTATCAGGCTCTTAATCAGAGAAAAAAAAAAATAATGGGGGCTATGTTTCACTTTACAGCGATTTTTGCTTTACAGCATTAGCCTGGAACCTAACCCGCTGCATAAGTGGAGCTCTACAGTAACCCGGAACCTAACCTGCTGTATAGGCAGAGCCCTACAGTAGTGTGGAACCTACCTACTGTATAAGCAGAGCCTACAGTAGCCCAGACACTAACCTGCTATATAGTGGAACCGTACAGTAGCCAGAAACTAACCTGCTGTATAAGTGGAACCCTACAGTAGCCCAGAAACTAACCTGCGGTGTAAGTGGGACCCTACAATAGCCCAGAACCTAAGCTGCTGTATAAGTGGAACCCTACAGTAGCCTAGAACCTAAGCTGCTGTATAAGTGGAACCCTACAGTAGCCCAGAACCTAACCTGCTATATAAGTGGGACCCTACAGTAGCCTAGAACCTAAGCTGCTGTATAAGTGGAGCCCTACAGTAACCCAGAACCTAACCTGCTGTATAAGCTGAGCCCTACAGTAGTGTGGAACCTAACCTGCTGTATAAGCAGAACCCCAGAGTAGCCCAGAACCCAACCTGTTATATAAGCAGAGCCCTACAGTAGCCCTGAACCTAACTTGCTGTATAAGCGGAACCTTACAGTAGCCTGGAAACTAACCTGCCATATAAGTGGGACCCTACAGTAGCCCAGAACCTAACCTGCTGTATAAACTGGGACTGCATGTACATACCTTCATTGGATTTATTATGCCAAAACCTGTTTTTCTTGCTGTTAAGGTCTTTATTATGAAAGTTGACATAAATCAGTCATACAAATACATTTCCTACCATTCAATGAAGAAAGTGCACCATGTCAGAGGTTACTTTACCATCTAAAAGTGCAAATTATCTGAGTAGCTTCCAAAATATATACAGCCTCTCCTCAATTAACGACAGAGTTCCGTTAAGGCAGGAGCAGGTTGCTCCTGCCTGTCCCAACTACTGGACCACTATGACAAGATCCTGGATGCTCTAGAAGACAAAATGCAGATGTAGTATACACAGACTGTGAAAGCCTTTGACAAGAGTGACCATGGTGTAATAGCGCACAAAATGCATGAGAAAGGAATAACATGAAAAGTTGGTAGATGGATCTATAACTTCTTAACAAATAAAACACAAAAAGTAGTAATAGAGAAAGTAAATTCTGAGGCAGCTACTGTGAAAAGCTCTGTTCCACAAGGCATAGTACTCGCCCTCATCCTGTTCCTCATCCTCATATCTGATATAGACAAAGATGTAAGCCACAGCACCATGTCTTCCTTTGCCGATGACACCCAAATTTACATGACAGTGTCCTCCACTGAAGACACTGCAAGACTCCTAATGGACATCAACCAAATCATTAAATGGGCCGCAGAAAACAAAATAAAGTTCAATGATGAGAAATTTCAATTACTCCAATAAGGAAAATGTGAGGAAATTAAAACTATATCAGAGTATAAAACAAAGTCCAACCAAACATTAGAGTAAAAAACTAATGTAAAGGACCTGGGAGTGATAATGTTAGAGAATCTCGCTTTCAAGGACCACAACACTGCATCAATCGCATCTGCTAGAAAAATGACAGGATAGATAATGAGAACCTTCAAAATTAAGGATGCCAGACCCATGATGACACACTTCAGGTTGGTTGTTCTATCTAGGCTGGAATATTGCTGCACATTAACAGCACCTTTCAAGGCAGGTGAAATTGCTGATCTAGAAAATGTACAGAGAACCTTCATGGCACACAAGTGCAATAAAGCACCAAAATTACTGGGAATGGTTGAAGTTCCTCTACCTGTATTTCCTGGAATGCAGGCAGGAGAGATACATGATTATATACACTTGAAAAATCCTAGAGGGATTAGTACCATATTTCCACATGAAAATCACTCCCTATGAAAGCAAAAGACTTGGCAGGCATGTAACATCCCCCCAATGAAAAGCAGGGGTACCACCAGCACGATAAGAGATAACACAATAAGTGTCAGGGGTCCAAGACTGTTCAACTGCCTCCCAGCATACATAAGGGGGATTACCAATAGACCCCTGGCTGTCTTCCAGAAGGCTTTGGATAGGCACCTGATCAGCTGGGCAGGGTTTCACAAAATACCACAAAATAATCAGGTTTGAGCCAATGAAAAGGGAGTAACTCTGATTTACTGGATAAAGAATCTTTAATCAGCCTCATGGAAGTGGACCAGCAAACTTAACTCTTTTGTAAAATTAAAGCAGGAAGGAGTACATATAACTTACTTGTAGAGAAGCTGGAGTACATATAACTTACTTGTAGAGTACCTAAAGTACATATAACTCACTTGTAGAGTAGCTGGAGTCAGATGGATATCTTCTTTCACCTTTACTGGTGTCGAAGTAAATGGTATTGGACTTTCCCCTTTATGAACTGGGTGATAAAGCTCATATTTATCTCTACCTGGGTACTGTGAGCTGGAAAACACCTAGCAAAACAAATTTATCATTATTACATTTTATTTTAGGTCGTAACAACTCACTGTTCGAACTATAAAAATTCATTGAATAAGGTTAAGATTTTCTAAATACGAGTAATAAAACTATGAAAATTAATTAAGTTATTTGGGATTATAAATGTTTCAGTGCACATATCTGATTACTGTATAGTAAATAACAAGTTTACACTAACATATATTAAGTTAGCACTAAAACTAGGCATTAAAAAACAATAAAACGTAAAATACACACACAGTACACTCATTACCTTAAAATATTTGTAGTCTTACTGTAGAGTAAGAGAATAACATCCAGTATTGGGCCCCTACTTAAACAAGATGGACCCAATGGAAATAAGTCACTCTGTCTGACTTTTTTGGGTTATCCTAGGTTCTCTACACATATGCTGCTATGTATGATAATTCTATGTAACTGTATTTGTGTATACCTGAATAAACTTACTTACTTACTTACTTACTTATTCCTACACAGATGACAGCAAGGAAATGAGTGAGCTACTCAAGTCCCAATATGACTCAGTTTTTAGCAAGCCGCTAACCAGACTGAGAGTCGAAGATCAAAATTAATTTTTTATGGGAGAGCCACAGAATTTGGTTAACACAAGCCTATCTGATGTTATCTTGACGCCAAAGGACTTCGAACAGGCGATAATTGACATGCCCATGCACTCTGCCCCAGGGCCAGACTCATGGTACTCCGTGTTCATCAAGAACTGCAAGAAGCCCCTATCACGAGCTTTTACCATTCTATGGAGAGGGAGCATGGACCCTGGGGTCATCCCACAGTTACTAAAAACAACAGACATAGCCCCACTCCACAAAGGGGGCAGTAAAGCAATAGCAAAAAACTACAGACCAACAGCACTAACATCCCATATCATAAAAATCTTCGAAAGGGTCCTAAGAAGCAAGATCACCACCCATCTAGATACCCATCAACATGGCAACATGGTTTTAGAGCAACATGGGTTTAGAGCAGGTCGCTCCTGTCTGTCCCAACTACTAGATCACTATGACAAGGTTCTAGAAGCACTAGAAGACAAAAAGAATGCAGATGTAATATATACAGACTTTGCAAAAGCCTTCGGCAAGTGTGACCATGGCATAATAGCGCACAAAATGCGTGCTAAAGGAATAACAGGAAAAGTTGGCAGATGGATCTATAATTTTCTCACAAACAGAACACAAAGAGCAGTAGTCAACAGAGTAAAGTCTGAGGCGGCTACGGTGAAAAGCTCTGTTCCACAAGGCACAGTACTCGCTTCCATCTTGTTTCTCATCCTCATATCTGACATAGACAAGGATGTCAGTCACAGCACCATGTCTTCCTTTGCAGATGACACCCGAATCTGCATGACAGTGTCTTCCATTGCAGACACTGCAAGGCTCCAGGGGGACATCAACCAAATCTTTCAATGGGCTGCAGAAAACAATGTGAAGTCCACCGATGAGAAATTTCAATTACTCCGATATGGTAAACATGAGGAAATTAAAACTTCATCAGAGTACAAAACAAATTCCAGCCACTAAATAGAGCGAAAGACCAACGTCAAAGACCTGGCAGTGATCATGTCGGAGGATCTCACCTTCTTGGACCATAACATTGTATCAATCGCATCTGCTAGAAAAATGACAGGATGGATAATGAGAACCTTCAATACTAGGGATACCAAGCCCATGATGTCACTCTTCAGGTTGCTTGTTCTATCTAGGCTGGAATATTGCTGCACACTAACAGCACCTTTCAAGGCAGGTGAAATTGTTGACCTAGAAAATGTACAGAGAACCTTCACGGCGTGCATAACGGAGACAAAACACCTCAATTACTGGGAGTGCTTTAAGTTCCTGAACCTGTCTCTTTGGTGATGACACGACTTATGTCATCTCCCACCCTAATCTTGCCACCCTCAACACCATTGTTAACGAGGAGCTGCTCAAAATATCAACTTGGATGACAGCCAATAAACTTACACTTGACACTGACAAAACCTACTATATTATGTTTGGTAGCAGAGCAGGTGTTGAGCAACTTAACATTAAGATCGACAACACTCTAATTGCCAGACATAATGAGACCAAATTCCTTGGCCTATACCTTGACAACAACCTAAATTTCAGCACCCACATCCAACACATAACAAAAAAAGTATCCAAAATGGTGGCGATCCTCTCCAAGATATGATACTACGTGCCGCAAACTGCCCTTTTCACGCTATACCATTCACTTACATATCCATACCTCACCTATGCTATCTGTGCTTGGGGTTCAACTGCAGCAACACACCTATAGCCAATAATAACCCAACAAAAGCCGCAGTAAGAATAATCACTAAATCCCATCCCTGGCAACACACCCTCCCCACTCTTCATAGATCTAAATTTACTCCCTGTTCAGAACATCCACATGTACTACTGTGCAATCTATATCTACAGGACATTAAATTCCAATATTAACCTTGACCTAAAATGCTTTCTTGATAGTTGTGACAGGATCCACAGGCATAATACCAGACACAAACATCTCTATGACATTCTTCGTGTCCGACTAAACCTTTACAAAAATTCAATGTATTTCAAAGGACCTAAAATCTGGAACACCCTACCTGAAAACTCTAGAACTGCAGACACACTCATCACTTTCAAAACTATAGTTAGAAAACATCTTATCTCCCTGATACACCCCGACAACTAACTACATGATAACCACCTGGTGGTTCACAATTACACTCACTCACCCACTGACTATAAACACAGAAATACTAATCTTAATCTTAAAATAATGAATCCTAACTAGTCATAAGTTTGCCTATGATACTCCAATATAGACACTTTGTATTGTGCCAAAACAAAAGCATTCACATTGCTAAACTCACAAATTACAATGTAGTCACCTAGCCTTAATACCATAATCTGTAAGGATTTTATGTTAAGTATTAATCTAAGTCTGCCCAAAATGCCTAGCCATGCTAGGTGTCCTAGTGGCCCCCTCTGTAATTAGTATTTTATAACAAGTAAACCACAAAATATCCAAATCCTGTAAACCCCACATTGTAACCCTTATAGAGAATAAACTTGATTTGATTTGTACTCCCTGGAATGCAGGCAGGAGAGATACATGATTATATACACCTGGAAAATCCTAGAAGGACTGGTACCGAACCTGCACATGAAAATCACTCCCAACGAAAGCAAAAGACTCGGCAGACGATGCAACATCTCCCCAATGAAAAGCAGGGGTGTCACTAGCACCTTAAGAGACAACACAATAAGTGTCAGGGGCCCGAGACTGTTCAACTGCCTCCCAGCATACATAAGGGGGATTACCAATCTTCAAGCAGGCACTAGACAAGCACCGAAAGTTGGTACCTGACCAGTCGGGCTGTGGCTCGTATGTTGGATTGCATGCAGCCAGCAGTAACAGCCTGGTTGATCAGGCTCTGATCCACCAGGAGGCCTGGTCACGGACCAGGCCGCGAGGACGATGACCCCCGAAACTCTCTCCAGGTAAACTCCTGGTTATGGTTCAAACACGTTCATTTCCATGTTTGCGAGTGAATAAGTTTTTATTCAGGTACAGGTAAACATAAATACAGTTACATAGATTATCATACATAGCAGCTTATGTATAGATTACCTAGGATCACCCAAAAAAAGTCTGAGTGACTTATTTCCATTGGGGTGAAGCTTATACCATAACTGAAACACCTTACAAGTTGCCTCCACGTTGGTAAAGTAGAATAAATGAAGAGCAACACTCCCATTCTCTTGTAACACACCATTTTTAGAAGGAATAATGCTCAGTGAAGGCATATGAAAGGAATAATTTCCTACAGTTACCCCCAGTAATAATATTGTGTACACATTTTCTTTGGTGTTGAACTAGAGAAAACATTATTCTTCCCAACACTCTGACAAGACGACTGGAAAAACATCTCATATTTCTTCTTCTTCTTCTTCTTCTTCTTTCAACAAGCTGGCCGTATCCCACCGAGGCAGGGTGGTAAAAAAAAAAAAAAAAAAATAACTTTAGTAATGTATACAGGAGAAGGGGTTACTAGCCCCTTGCTCCTTACATTTTAGTCACCTCTTATGACACGCATGGCTTACAGAGGAAGAATTCTGTTCCACTTCCCCATGGAGATAAGAGGAAATAAACAATAACTAGTAAGAAAATACAAGAAAACCCAAAGGGGTGTGTATATATATGCTTGTACATGCATGTGTAGTGTGACCTAGGTTTAGGTAGAGGTAGCAAGACGTAGTTGAAAACTAGTATGTTTACGAGACAGAAAAAAGACAGCAGCAATCCTACCATCACATAAAACAATTGGCAGGATGGTAGTACCTCCCTGGGTGGCTGCTGTCTACCAACCTACTACCTAAGCATCTCATATTTATGTTAATGTATTTTACTGTGGGGCGTATTTATCATGATTACACGTATATGTTAGGTAGCGTGCTTATTATATAATTTTGAAAAAATATCATACATGATATTTAATGCATCTCTGAGTGATTATTGTGCGTTATTATTATTATCATTATTAACCCTATCAGGGTCCGTCCCGTACATCTATGGCTTTATGTTCAGGGTCCAAACCGTAGATCTATGCCATGAGCTCAGCTCACTCTGATAAACTGTGAGTGGTAAATTTGGGCCTAGATATGAGAGAATACATCTATGTGGTATGTGTGCACCACATAAAACAAATCCTGCAGCACACTGTGTATAATGAGAGAAAAAACTGAGACCGCGATTTTCGATTAAAACAGCGACTTTGCAGTGTTTTTTCGTATGTTTTTTATAGTTGTATTTGCGATTTCTTGGTCTCATTTGATAGAATGGAAGACATATTACAGAAATAGAGATGATTTTGATTGGTTTTACACTGGAAATGGCTTGAAACTGAGCTCAAAGTAGCAGAAATGTTAAATTTTTGCCGATGTTCAAGAGTAAACAAACAACCTCA